ACCGCTGCAGTTGAACAAAGAAAGGGAATTCACATAATCAGCACCAACTTGAAAGTAAATAAATGAGGTTTGTACATAAAATATAATGTAGAGAACGTTTTCAGTTCTTTCCAAGGGATGGCCTAATAGAAGGTGGTGACAGTAGATGATGGTTGATGGAAAATGGGCAGGAGAGAGCCATTTTTCAGAAAGTTCTTCTTTCTAACCAGTTTCTTTACCAAGTTTTCAATCATCTTGGCACTTATGATTACCTTTCACTCAAACTTCAATTCAAACAAAGATATAACACACAAAAAATACCTCAGGGGCAAAATAAAGGCAAAATGCCGCAGTGCTTTGAAATACACAAAAATTGTACAGTTGCACTGAGGGATTACAGGAGGTGCTCCCTCTCCATCCCTCTTGCTTGGTATATGTTCCCAAATGTGGCCTGCGATTCAAATTTGTTTTGCATGACATTCTCTGGCTGGAGAATTGTGTGGAGAAAATTGTCTTTGCTTAAAATTGTAATGTCAAAATATCACTTTTTATATCAATTGTACTTAGTGCCTTTTTGGTTGAAAAAGTTTTATAGTAATAAATGGAGTCATCAATGACTTGGTTTGGTCAAATACTAGTCGATATGTTGCTGTGAAGGTATTTTTTGGATGTAATTAACATCTACAATCAATGGACTTTAGGTAAAGCAGATGACCCTCCATGATGTGGGTGGTCCTCATCCAATCAGTTGAAGGCTTTAAGAGAAAAGACTGCGGTTTCCTGAGGAAAAAGGAATTCTGTCTACAGAGCGCAACAGCCAAATGCTGCCTGAGTTTCCAGGCTGCGGACTCAGGACCACAATATCAACTCTTATCTGAATCTCCAGTTTGCTGGCCTGCCCCATAAATTTTGGACATGTCAGTCCCCACAATTGCATAAGACAATTCCTTAACATCTCTCTAGATAGGTAGATAGATATAGATACCTATAAATATATCTATAGATATCATAACTGTATCATATATGTCTTACGTTCTTGGAATATACCATTGGTTCTGTTTCCCTGGAAAATCTTGCCTAATACAGCAGGTGTTATAATCACCTTTTGATAGATAACCTTGGAAAAGTTTGAAAACTTTCCCAAGGACACAAAGGGCACGTGGGGGATCTAGGTTTCAAACCCAAGTCTGTGTGACCCAACAGCCCTTACTCTTCCCACTCTGCTGAGAAGGGGTAGAGGGGCGGAGCGTGGCACCTTGAAGATCAAATATTGCCTGAGTCACTCTCCCCGGAAATACTAACCCAGGAAAAAGTTTTCCATGAAGCAGAAGATTAAATGAAAAGAGTCATTTTTCAGGGACAGCTGTGACCTTTACCTTTGATCTTGTATCTCAAGATTCTCAAATCGAGTTCCTGAAAGATTTGGCATGAATTAAGATGCTGTAGGAGAGAAAAATCATCTAGTGCTGTCTGGTTTGCTTTAGGACCTCTACTTGTAGAGGCTCCTATAGCTGCAGCCAGCTCATGATGGAGCATTTACTGTATGCTAGATGCTTTATCTACCTTACCTATAATCCTTACGGTAGTCCATAGTTTGGATTTTGCTGTAACAACAGACAAACCCATGTAACGCCTGATGTGGTCCAGGCAGATCTTGTAATGATGCCATTGGCCATTTGTGGCCTCCAAGCTTGTCTGCTTACCTGCCTCAGGCAAGAGAGTGACACATGCCTTCCCTTTTGTGCCAGGAGTGAGAGGTAGTCACATGACCCCATCAGTGGGGTGGGGGGTGGCTGGGAAATGTAGGGAAGCATGTGAATCTTTGGTGAGCTCTAGTGGACCCTACCAGACCCTTATTTTAGCGACAAGGAAGGTGAATCTCAGAGAGAATGCGTGACTTGTGCACCCCAGGTCTTAAGGCTCCTAAGTCATTTCCCGCAAGTAAACTCTACTGTAGTTATGTCAAAATGACTCAAAATGATCTGCCTGTGCTACAGTGGATGCCAACCATCCCCCCTCCCCACCAAAAGGAATCCCACTATTGCTCATACAATACAGCAGAGCAGACACCTGCTAAATTGGCATACTTTGCATCAATGCCACATTTCCCTACCAAGCCTTGATGAAGGTCTGATCATGTATTTAAAAAATTATCTATCCCGCTGTGGTGGCTGTATCCCTCCCATCTGTCCCATGCTGGGTGAAATCTGCTACAGCTGCAAGTGACACCTGCTAGAGAACCAGACGAGGTACCTTGGGGGTGTGGGGCAATTTAGCAGGTGGATGCTAAAAGCTGGCAACCACTTTGCCAAAATTTTCTTATCCTCTTGTAGCCTTCAAGGAAATAGAAACAAAGAAAATGAAAGGCAAGGTGGGGGACAAAGGCTGATATTGTATATCAGGACTTTTATTTTCAATGCAAATATATCATTTCATATTTGCCTGGTGGAGACGGAGGGTGACCCACCTTCCATCCTAACCCAGATTGCAACACCATACTCTTGTGTGGGTGAAACTTGAGTTCAGGCTGCAACTGATCTGCTGTTGGGGAGGTAGCAGAAGCTCAGTGCCAGGAGCTCCATTTTTCTTCTTGTTTTTTTCAGTGAAAGGAAGAATCGAGGACCACATTCCAGACCTTTCCACCTTCCCCATTTACTTGGTTCTTCCTCTGCTAAATCACATCCTTTGAACACTAGCACTGTAGTTAACAACTCGATGTTCCTGCCCTGGAGTGAGACTGGACCCGGGGCTAAGTTCTGACCTGGCTACTTACCTGCTCTGTCACTTTGGATGTTTGGACAAGGTATTTCATCTTTCTTCCTTTCTTTTTTTTTTTCTTGTTGTTGCTGTTAGTTCCCTGACCAGGGATTGAACTCGTGCCCTTGGCAGTGAAACCTCGGAGTTCTAACCACTGGACAGCCAGGGAATTTCCCTGGCCTTGAGCCTTTTTTTTTTCTTTTAATTTATTTGTTTATTTTATTTATTTATTTTTGGCTGCGTTGGGTCTTTGCTGCTGCACGCGGGCTTTCTCTGGTCACAGTGACCTGGATCTACTATTCGTTGCGGTGCACGGGCTTCTCATTGCGGTGACTTCTCTTGCTGCAGAGCACAGGCTCTAGGTGTGTGGGCTTCAGTAGTTGTGGCACGTGGGCTCAGTAGTTGTGGCTCGCGGGCTCTAGAGCGCAGGCTAGTAGTTGTGGCGCACGGGCTTAGTTGCTCCATGGCATGTGGGATCTTCCCGGACCAGGG